AAAAAAAAAAAACCTCATTTGGCAGAGCTGGGCTTGGTAGTACAGTGAAATTTTAGTGTAATGTGCTCTTGCGGTAATTGAAAGGGGAAAGATAATTTGGATAATTTTGCAAAGGAAAATAGGTGTGTACTTAACTTTGCCTCTGATCAGTTTTTTAAAATACAAGAGCAAAACATTTTTTAATCTAAATATTTCAATTAAGTCTCCTTGAAAATGTAGTAATAAAGTATATGAAGTTTCTTTTTTCATTTTGCTCTGTGACTGGTTTAAAGGTAAGTTTGTTATATTACTGGTAGATTTTGCCAGGCTTCTCCCAACAGAGTAGAAGTAATTTGACCTTGTACCTTATCAGTGGTAACCACTTTGCTTCTACATTTCCAGTTTGGAAAAGGAGCTGGAATTGGATACGATTCCTGCCGGTTTATTGGTTAAAATAAAGAAGAGGCAGGAGTTTGGATGGTTGGATGGGATTCCCTTAGGATTTTACAGCTGATAAAGATGCCACTTCCTGTGCATGTCCCAAGAATCATTCATCCTCTTTTACTCTGTTGGGATGAGTCTTTTTTTGTTCGTGTTCAGTGTGGTTACTAACTTAGTCTTCTTTCCTCTTGCTGTCATCTGCATTCGTGCTTCCCACCTGTTGTTGGCATGTCCTTTACCTTCTCTTTCCCTGCTACATCAACCTGCACACTGACTCATCGTTGGCTTTGAAGATGTGGAAGATGTCAAGTTTGTGATCAACTATGACTATCCAAACAGCTCAGAGGATTATGTGCACCGTATTGGCCGAACAGCCCGTAGCACCAACAAGGGCACCGCCTACACCTTCTTCACCCCAGGGAACCTAAAGCAGGCCAGAGAGCTGATCAAAGTGCTGGAAGAGGCTAACCAGGCTATCAACCCAAAACTGATGCAGTTGGTGGACCACAGAGGAGGCGGCGGAGGAGGGGGTAAGGGTAAGTCCTGGAGTTTTCCAGGTACTGCCAAGGTATCTTTTTGTTTTTTAAGTCCTGTTGAAAGCTTTTGAGTATGTTGCTTAATAACAGAGGACAGTGATGAGTAGTTTTTCATAGTCTCTTTTAAGTAAGCCCATATTGAAGGTTGCGAGGTGGGGGCTGTGGAGATTGTCCAGTATTTCCATAGGCAGTATTATAAAACTGGCCTTTGTGTTTTGAAGTACATGGTACATGTTCAGAATTAAGCTGAATTCTGATTGGTTTTAATACCTTCAAAAGCCTTAGTGTAGTATATTAGGTTTTCAGTTTTTAAGGTGAAGAGATGAGTAATTTTACACCATTTTATGGTAGTAGAAACAGGCATAATTAATGGATCTGAAAATTGGATAGTTGCAAATATACTTGGATCAGGGTTTCTTGACTACCATACAAGTTTGGAATTATTTTGTCCCAAACTTATTGCATGCTGAAGCCATTAAAATCACCCAAGAAGTTTTTTAAAATAACAAGTTTTTTGGTTTTTAAGTGGGTTTGGAATTGAGCCTAGGATCCTAAAGCTTGTGAGGTAATTCTGATGCATTTAGGTCCACAAAACAACATAGAGAACCCACTAGTAGAGGGTCCTGGTAGGGTATTCTGAACTTAGCTGCTTGTCTTTGTTCTTTAACCTGTGGTAAGTCACCTAAACTTTTTTACCATTGTTCCTGCATTTTGAAGATTGTATTTCTCAGTAAATCCTCAAAAGGAAAAAGGACATAAAACGGTGAGAAGTTGAATGACCTTTAATATTCACCATTTTTTCTGAATATGACCTATTAAAGAATCAGATTATGGGTATAGTTTTAAAGTAATTTGGAGCCTGGCCTAGTTAAAAGATCAGCAAAGAGCATTGAATACTTTTGTGTTGTAGAGTTTTTACATCTGGTTGCATTTGGATTGTGTATCTGGCATTAAAGATACCTCGTGTCTTCCCCTTAGGAGGTCGTTCTCGATACCGGACCACTTCTTCAGCCAACAATCCCAATCTGATGTATCAGGATGAGTGTGACCGGAGGCTTCGAGGAGTCAAGGATGGTGGCCGGAGAGACTCTGCGAGCTATCGGGATCGTAGTGAAACCGATAGAGCCGGTTATGCTAACGGCAGTGGCTATGGAAGTCCAAATTCTGCCTTTGGAGCACAAGCAGGCCAATACACCTATGGTCAAGGCACCTATGGGGCAGCTGCTTATGGCACCAGTGGCTATACAGCCCAAGAATATGGCGCTGGCACTTATGGGGCTAGTAGCACCACCTCAACTGGGAGAAGTTCACAGAGCTCTAGCCAGCAGTTTAGTGGGATAGGCCGGTCTGGGCAGCAGCCACAGCCACTGATGTCACAACAGTTTGCACAGCCTCCAGGAGCTACCAATATGATAGGTTACATGGGGCAGACTGCCTACCAATACCCCCCTCCTCCTCCTCCCCCTCCTCCTTCACGTAAATGAAACCACTCAAGTGGTAGTGACTTGTGCAGACTTAATACATTTAAAGGAACGCTGTCTTTCCCCTTTTTTTTTCTCTTCCCCTTTTCTTTCTTTTTCTTTTTTTTCCCCCAACCATTGTGATTTGTCTTTCATGCAGATTAGTTAGAATTCACTGCCAGGTTTCTTCTGTCCGCCAAAATGATCCAGTCTGTAATAACAGATTTTGTAAAAAACATATATATATATAGCCGACTGGAAGAGATTTTTGTTTTCCCCAACTTCTTGCATGTTGAGGATACTTGAGCTATTTTTCATCTTAAAAGAAAAAGTAAGGTATTAGGCCCTTTTGTGGGAGCCCATTTTTTTGTTGTCCTGAGTTGGGGTAGGGGGGAGGGTAGAGGGTTGAATTCTGCAGAAGAAGATGGCATCTGTGCTTTTAGATTGCTCACATTACTGGGTTAGAAAACCAAGAGGGAATTCCCTGCACATTTTCTGTATTGCTTTTTAATGTTCCTCAGGCCTGATGAGTTTCTAAGACAATGCTTTGCCATTGTCATTTTGGCTGATTGCTTGTTAAGTGCATTTGACAGTTTAAAAAAATTCCTAATTGGTTTTGTCTCCCTTATATTCCGCCTTGCCCCTTCCCAATTACTGAAAAATAACCATTTTAGTCAGGTTAGACATTGAATTGCTGAGTCTGAGTTTCTTAAGTGTATCTTTTAAATTAAAAACCCCAAGTGTTTATTGCAATGGTTAAATGTAGCCTCTCAGCATCTGGGTGGAAGCTGCCTATTTTTCTTCCCCACATAACCAGGGACCATCTGTGAAATTCATTTTCCAATTAGATAGCTGCTCTGAGCAGAATGAACATAAATGCTCACTGAAAATTTATTAACCAGTTAGTTAAATAACCAGTTAAGTATGCATCCACCTACAGTGTAAAAACCACCTTTAATTATAAACCGAATATACTCAGCGGCAAATTTTCTTTTTATCTCAGTTGTAGAGCTAGAATACAAAAGCACCTCTTTGCTAGCTACTCAGCCCTTTTGGCCAAATTATCTTGAATAAAGAACCTTTGGGGTCTGTTAAGAAAGCTCTTAATTCTCTTCATACTCTTCTCTGCAGTGCTTTGTAACAGCTCTTGGATGCAAATTTTCTTCAGCATCCTTTTGCACTCAGCTTTTTACAGGTAGGTAGTGCTTAAGAAAAGTTACAGAGGACTAAGCCCAAGTCCTCACTTTTCTTCCTCCTGAAGGTAGGTGAGTTTGTTCCCTTCCAGTAGTGATACTGTTTTACTGAGACTTCCTATAGCACATGAGCCTAGAAAGGATTTTCTGCTCTTGTGTGTTCACTGTAACAGGACAGGACAAGGAGATCAGACGACCCCAGAACCCTCTTCCATATCCAGTGTTGGACTATTAATTTTTTATGCTTGTATTGGTATTGTTGGTTAACAATGTAGTTAAAGGGGGAAGGCTCCACTGCATCCTTTGGCTAAGGACTGAGGGTGCTTGCTGGTTTGTAATATCTAAATACTTGAGGTTTTTTTTTTTTTTGTTTGTTGTTTTTAAAAAATTCTTTAGGGAGAGGAAAGGGATGGTTTCTGAGGGGTTCTGAAAAGTATGGTTGAATGTGCAACATACAGGTAGGTTGTCAGCATAAGCTGAAATGTACGCATGTGAGAACTTGTCGTCCCCCATCCCCCCCACACACACTTTTTCTTTAACTGTACTCTTTTCTCCCTTCGAGAAGTTAAGGCTGAGGGAGGATGGTAGGCACAGGAAAATCTGGCAAAACTGCTCTGTGCTTTCAAACCAAAGTGCCCCCTCACCCCTGAAAAAGAAAAAAAATTTTCTTTTTTTGGTCTAAGCATTGACCAGTCCATTGTTGATATTTCTTTGTACACCAGAATTCTGATTATTTTTAAACAGAGGTGCCACCATAAGGGGTGTCCTTCTTTACTCTCTTGCAGGTCTTAATGCAGCTTTGTGGGAAAGGTCTCTGGGCAGGCAAGTGGTATTTGGTCTGCTGCTTGCCAACCCTTTTCCCCCCAGGGATGCTGTGGTCATAAAGTCAAAATAACAGCATATTCCAAATCTCAAAAGCTATTGTGGCCTGAGCACAGCTGAAATCTAGCAGAGTCTTTCATATATAGTTTTAGAGTAACTCTTCTGTTTCTTTGTCACTCATAATTCACGTTCTGCCTTTGCTTCAGAACATGAGCAGAAGAGTCCTCATGTGATGCTAGTTATTATTGCAGTCATGGTTGAAAGTCATTTAGGGAAAGGATTTCAATATTAAGCTGTGGGGCTGCTTCTCCCCAATACCTCCCTAACAATTCGTTGTGTGGACTTCTCTCATCTAAAAGGTTGGTGGCTTTTTGCTTGGGATCAGTGCTCTATTCATGTGTTGCTGGTCTCTGAACACATTCCTGTTGCGTTAAGACTTGAAAGATTTGTAGATGTGTGATGTTCAGGCACAGGATGCTAAGAGCTATGTTACTATTCTTAGTTTGTAAATTGTCCTTTTGATACCATCTTGTTTTCTTTTGTAGGTATAAATAAAACACTGTTGACAATAAGGCGTGAACTTTTTATTGCTTGAAAATTATCTGACTGTAGTCCAGTGGTAGTTTTCTTAACAGTTTTTATTCAAATTTGGGGACGTCAGATTGAGTAATCCCCTTAGCACCTAAAAATGTGAAAGGGAGGTGGGACTGATTGAATTTAATGAAAGAATTTGAGTCACAAAGCAAGGCTGGGCACCTAGTAGGTAAAGGCTTGGGCATTTGTTTCCTTATTGGTAAATGGTGGTCATGGTAGCGGTACCCACCTAGGTGGGATTAAAGTACTGTCTAGACCTGCTGTGAGCTATAGCAAGACCCAAGTCCATTGTAAAAGTGAGGGAGGAAACTACTTAGGTCTAACCAAAGCTAATAAATTTGGCTTTCACTTATGGCCTGAAGGCAGGTTGAAAGTGAAGTGACATTTCACACCCATTAAGACTGGATCACCTCTGTATCACTCCCGAAACTTCGTCTTCTATCTGGAAAGTGAAAATCACAACAACATGCTTCTAATACTTGAAGTCTGATCTTTGGGGGACATTTGCCTTATACACAGACTTCTTTTCGGATGGGATTGACTGTTAGCGTGAGGGTCATGCTAAGACCTTAAGGAGCAATGGTTTATTTGACCCATCCATGGATTAAGCACCTAATATTTCTTTATACACAGTTGATGTGAGGCACCATGCTTGTGTAATTGGCCTAAACTTTTTGTTGGTGCTATAATTTAAGGGACCGGGGAGAACGTCTTCTAGATAGATCAGTGCTTTGCTGAAATCCACACTAAGCATTTTTCTGATTTTAACACTTGGCCCAAGTCATCCAGGAGAACATTTCAAATAGCTTGCTCTGTGTCCTTGTTAAGGTGTAGAATCATCTCAGGCCCTCAAATGGGCATTGGAAGACTTAACTTCTTTCCTTTAAGGACTAGAAAAAAATGGAGTGAAATTAGAATTTATCACGCTGCAGACTCCCTTGTAACTGCAGAGTCTCTAATCTCTGGTTCATAATAGGTGTTTGGCTGTTGAAGCCAAGGGGGAAGCTTCATCCCAGGTTAAACTACAGGCTTAGTGACACGCCCGCCCCAAGCCATCTTGGTTACTGATCCCCCTTTCCCTTAGGCCATAAACAGTTGGCCTCCATTTCTGATTCACTTGAGATCTGCCCACAAACTGGTGACCAACTGAACAACGGCAACTGCCCCATCCCTAGTCTCCCTACTTTGGTTGCCTTTTATTCTACACAGCAGCCTCTGGGCTGGTTCTTCAGCCCCTCTGGTGGCTGCACTTGGCCATCTGTGCAATGCAAACCTGTAACCTCCTGCCCATCCCCACCTCCAGCTTTGCTTGATCTCTGAGCTCTTCAGCTTTATAGATATGACCACACTAGCCTCTTTGTCCTTTGTCACACCAACCTGGTTCCAATCTCAGGGCTCCTTCATAAGCTATTCTGTGGAATGTCTCCTATGTTTTCCTAACAAAATATTACGTCAAATGTCCTCATATTTACCTCCTTTATACACCTTGCACAGTACATATATCTTAACTGCATTGTATTTTTCCGTGGTGCTTGTTTCCTGAAAATACTTGTTCATCTTCCCTCATTAAAAGCACCACGAGGGGCATAATCCATTCACTTCCAGATCCCCTCATATATTGAATAGGTAACTCCTTGTGCCAGTGCCAGCAACCCTGCTCCGTTCTAGCACCCACCTTTGGTCACATACAAGTAGAAGAAATCGCAGTAGAAGATGGTTTGTACTACTCCAGACACGACTGCAATTTGGTCATAGAAGTTTTCAGTCTGGTACCGCCTGATCCAGTTAGCCAAGTATAGTGCCCGGTACAGACCAAGAAAGAACAAGTAGTGAGTAGTAATGGTTTCAGCCTCTCCAGTTTTACTGATCATGAAGAGCTGGGGCAGGATGGCCACGGATTCCAGGTAGATAGAGAAAGTCCAGAGTATCTGAACCAAAGAGATAAAGTGGGCAGAGGAGAGTGATCAAGACCATGAAGGGGCCCATCTTTTTATAAAAATGTAATTAGTGGGATGCTTGGGTGGCTTGGAGATTTAGTGCCTGCCTTTGGCCCAGGGAGTGATCCTGGGGTTCCAGGATCGAGTCCCACATCAGGGTCCCTGCATGGAGCCTGCTTCTCCCTCTGCCTGTGTCTCTGCCTCTCTCATGAATAAATAAAATCTTTAAAAATAATAAAAATAAAAATGTAATTACTAAAATAGTATGTCTACTGGAATAATATAGTGAGGGGAAAAAAAGTTCCTGAAATAATCAGTATATCATTTCACCTCTGTCTCTGAATAAAAATATTTTTAGAATATTAAAGCAAACTTTTTTACATCACATGAACATTTAGAACATAACTGTTGCAAAACCTTATTGTCTAACCTCGCCATAACTGAAGCCATAGTTTCTCAAAATGCAGTCCATAAACACTTGCATCAAAACTTCTAGATGTTTGCTACCTCAGATTCTTGGGTCACAGTCCAGACCTACTGATTTGAAATCTCAACCTGGACTGTGCCCTAGTATCCACCTGTGGGACACAAGGTCCCAGTAGCTGTAAGTGGTGCTGTAATGCCTGCTTTGTTTACTAACAGGACTATTTGGATGTGCCCGTTTTCTAATGGAGCAGTGTGAATTAGCTTATTACCAATTTTTAATCTTACAATGACAATATATATGAATAATAGTCCCAGCTGTACCAGAACACAATCCCAGATACTACAAAGGATCCAGAAGGAAGGATGTTAGGGAACATGTTTACCTTTAAGAATTCACACTCCAGGTCCCTTCCCTTACCTCCAGGGGAGTGAAACTGTAGTTCTCAAGGAAGGAGAGGCCAATGACAGGGACCAGAAGAAACTCCAGGCGGAACGTATCGTTCTCGCTGTCAAAGGTTTTCTGAAACTTCCCATAGATCATGTACACTGTGACATAGGCACAGAGGAGAAAAACCACCTGACAAGGGAAAGAGACACACGGGGATCAATGAAGTCATCTAGCCTATTTGCTGAGCTTCCAGGCCACCCCGAGTTGGGACCTGGCTAGTGCCCTGCCCCAAGGGGGACAAAGTGAAATGTGTTTGCAATTTCTTTTGAGTCCTTAGCCTAGATTCTGACCCTTTTGTTAAGTAACTCCATGCTTCCGATGAGGACCAACAGCACTAACCATGAAGACTTAAAAGTGCCCAGGCCTCTCCTTACTGCACAGCGTCTGGTAGAAGACCACACCTGACCTCTGTCCAGGGTTTTAGCAGTGGCCAGCCTTCTAGAGCTCTTAAAAACTCAAATTTCCAGATCTGCCTCAGTGACTTTTAAGCATTCTTGCACCAGGATTGACAACCTTTGAATGAGCTGATCCTTACTCCTTCAGGAAAGCTCTCTTTTTTTAGTCTTGGTAGCTGCCCTCCAGCATGAGGTGGTTTTATGGTTTGGCCTCTGACCTTCTAGGCCAGAGGTTCTCAAATTTGTATGTGCATCAGAATCACACAAATGGCCACCTTTTCTCCTCCTGCCCCTAGAGTGGCTGATTTAGTAGGTCCAAGTAGGCCTAAGGATTTGCATTTCTAGCAAGTTCCTATGTGATGCTGTTGCCGCTGGTCTGGGAACTCACTGGCCTAGAGAACTATTTGTACTTCAAAACTCAGATTAGTTTCTTACCAGAATGAGGCAAATCTACTTTGTGTCACCATAGCCCCATGGGAACACATTTACTGCCACCCGTGACCGCCAGGTTCTGCAAATGTCTGTATATCAGTCTCTTTTCCCTATGGAAGGGGAGTTCAAGGATGACTTCATGTCCACCTCCGAATCCCCAACCCCTAAAACTCAGGGCCTGGCACAAAACATGCTGGAATGAATAATGAATTAATGAAGTAGTGATCACTTCCTCACGTCACAAATGGGGAAACTGGCCTCCCTGAAGTTCCTACAACTCATTCAGCCATGCCAAGGGTTGGGTCTGCAGTACCTCCCAGGGCTGGCCAACTCACACCCGGGGGCAGAGGGATGAACTAGGTAGGTGGTGCTCTGCTATTTCTGGGTTGACTTTAAGACCGCGACTTCAGGACCTCAGACTGAAGTTCACACAGTTCAACACCCCACAGAGAGAACATCCTCCATTCCAACAAGACGCCTAGAGTCCCAAAGGCAGTCTGATAGGGAGGGGAAAGAGAACTTGCCTTGGAGGATATATCTACGCCTTTACATACATTCTCTCATAGAGTCCTCACAATAGCCCTGCAACATAGGTAGAATCATCCTATGGATTCCTCCTTAAAAGTGGAACTATTAGGGCAGCACTGGTAGCTCAGTGGTTTGGCGCCACCTTCAGCCTAGGGCATGATCCTGGATACAGGGGATGGAGTCCCACGTTGGGCTCTCTGCATGGAGCCTGCTTCTTTCTCTCTCTCTCTCTCTCTCTCTCTCTCTCTCTCTCTCTCTCTCTCAGTGTGTGTGTGTGTGTGTGTATCTCATGAATAAATAAATAAAATCTTAAAAAAAAAAAGTGGAACTATTAGATGACGTGCTCAACTAAAAACTACATCCCCCAGCCTCCTCTGCAGATAAGGCTGGTCAGTAAGGTGCAGGGGAAAGTCACTGCGCACAGTTTGGAGAAAGCTCTTGACAAAAGGCTAACCCCAGTTGGCAGACACACTACTGCTTTCTCCCCTTCTTCCTCCTTCCTGCCCAGAATGTGATGTGATGCTTAAGGAGTCCTAGCAACCATTTTGTGACCCTGAGGCAACCTTGAGGGTAGATGTCACATTTGGACTCCGTATAATTTGCAGGCCCTCCTAAAGAACTGAATTTCAAGATGGCAACAGCAAAGTCTTAAGCCAAGTGTGGGGCTCTTCGAGCAACTGCATGAGTCACACATCCTGGAGTCCTGGTCACACTAAAGATGATGGAGCAGAAAGTTAAAAGGAGCTGCAATCCCAGACCTGGACTGCCCACCCCCAGATTCCATGTTATGAGTAAAGTAAAAATAAACCTTTATATTATTAGAATAACTCCCTTTGAAAAAAAAAAAGAAAAGATCTATTTATTTTAGAGAAATAGCACGAGCGGCTGGGATACCTGGGTGGCTTAGTGGTTGGGTGACTTAGTGGTTGAGCATCTGCCTTTGACTCAGGGTGTGATCCTCCTCCCAGGATCGAGTCCCGCATGGGGCTTCCTGCGAGGAGCCTGTTTCTCCCTCTGTCTCTGTCTCTGTCTCTCTGTCTCTCGTGAATAAATAAATAAAATCTTAAAAAAAAAAAAAGGGCAGTCCAGGTTGCCTAACCTTTTTTTGCCTAAACCTCAGCGGTTTAGCGCTGCCTTCCCCAGGGTGTAATCCTGGAGACCTGGGATGGAGTCCCATGTCTGGCTCCCTGAATGGAGCCTGCTTCTCCCTCTGCCTGTGTCTCTGCTTCTCTCTTTCTCTCTCTGTGTCTCTCATGAATGAATAAATAAAATCTTTTAAAAATAAATAAATAAAAATTAAAAACAAAACAAAACAAAAAACAGAGCACGAGTGGGAGAAACAGAAGGAGAGAGAATTTCAAGCAGACTCCACCTGAGCCTGGAGACTGATGCAGGGTTCGACCTCACACCCCTGAGATCATGACCTGAGCAGAAGCCAAGAGTCATGATGCTTAGGCACCTGTAAAATAACTTTTTTTTAAAAGATTTTATTTATTTATTCATGAGACACACACACACACAGAGAGAGAGAGAGAGAGAGAGAGAGAGAGAGGCAGAGACACAGGCAGAGGGAGAAGCAGGCTCCATGCAGGGAACCAGATGTGGGACTCGATCCCAGGTCTCTAGGATTACGTCCTGGGCCAAAAGAAGGAGCCAAACTACTGAGCCACCAAGGGATTCCCCGTAAAATAACTTTTTTATTTTTCCCGTAAAATAACTTTTATTTTAAGTCTCTGTTACCAACATCCAAGCAGTAATATTCCACTTCACTGACTGAAACCTGTGCTCCTTTCACTAACCAATGTGGCCTTAAAGAGTTACAATGGCTGAGGGGATCCTGGGGGGCTCAGTGGATGGAGCATGTGACTCTTGATCTTGGGATCATGAGTTTAAGCCCCACAGTGTCTTAGAGCTTAAAAAAAAAAAAAGGCTAGAAGGGCTGATTTTTTTTAAATTAATTTATTTATTTATTTACGATAGTCATACAGAAAGAGAGAGAGGCAGAGACACAGGCAGAGGGAGAAGCAGGCTCCATGCACCGGGAGCCCGACGTGGGATTCGATCCCGGGTCTCCAGGATTGCACCCTGGGCCAAAGGCAGGCGCCAAACCGCTGCGCCACCCAGGGATCCCCTAGAAGGGCTGATTAAAAGCTCAGAAAATGCCTCATCCCAGCATAACCTCTAATGGCTGTGGCCCAGATCCTGAGACATCAGAGTGGAACCAAGAGATACTCAGTTTATCCTATAAAACAGGGCCATGCTTCAAAGCAACAGCTTCCCATCACAAAATTTAAGTCCAAACTGTTAACCTGAGCCACCTGCCCTCCCCCAGCCCTCTGATGGCAGACCTCTTGCCTGCTGGGCTCCCTGGCTTGTTCCTTAAATTCACCAAGCTTATTCCCATCTTGGGGGGTATTTGCACAGGCTATTCCTTCTTGTTGGAATGCTCTTCCTCTGATCATCCCATGGCTGGTTCCGTCTGTAACAGAGACCTTGACATATATGTCACCTCTTCAGACAGGCCCTTCCTGGTCGCTCCCTAAACGGCTTCCTATCCGTTCTCTATCACATCACCCGGCTTTTAAACCCATTTCTTAATGGGGTGTCTGCCTGGGTGGCTTAGTTGGTTTAGCATCTGACTCTTGATTTTAGTTCAGGTCTTGAGCTCAGGGTCAGGAGTTCAAATGCCAGGCTCCATGCTCAGTATGGAGCCTACTTAAAATAAATAAATAAAACTTTTTTTTTAATAATTAAAGGAAATGTCACCCTATTTTAGTTATTTGCATAGGCTCATCCCAAACCAAAGATTTTCTTGCTTGTTATAATATTTGTCACCCCACTTAAAATACTTACAATATAGGTTCCATGAGAATAGGAGCCTCCAATGTCTTCAAGTACCTGGCTCGTAGTTAGGTGCTCAATAAATACTTGTTAAATGGATATTGGATGAATAATCTCTCTGAAATCTCAGGGTTCGTGTTTGACTTTTTGCTTATTTTTTAACGATTATACTAGCTAACCTTTACTGACTGTTTAGTATATGATGGCTATTGGGACACCTGGGTAGCTCAGTCAATTAAGCATCTGATTCTTAGTTTTGGCTCAGTCATGATCTCAGGGTCATGAGATCAAGCCCAAGCCCTGTACAGGGCTCTGCGCTCAGTGAGGAGTCTGCCTTCTGCTTGAGATTTTCTCCCTCTACCCCTTCTTAACCTCCCTCACCCCAGCCATATTCTGTCTCAAAATAAATAAATCCTTAAAAAATATATATGTGATGGCTATTGTATATTTGCATTTATCACCTCATTTAATTTTTACCACAAACCCTCTGAGGAAAGTACTAGTATTATCTTCATTTTGTGGAGGAGGGGAAGGAGATCCACAGAGGCCAGAGGGCTTGCCTGAGCCCAGGTCCCATAGTAGCTCACAACACAGTCAGGATTCACCTCTGGGTCTGCCTGCCTCCACAGCCTGAGTTCCCAAGGGCACTGTCTCGGTTGGTTGGGCTCAGCAGGCCCCGCCACCATGGCCACCACCCCCTCACCTTCATGACTGTGTTGTAGATGGAGATGAAGTTGGTGAACAGGTCCAGGTACCTGGTGGTGAAGACGAGAGCAAAAAGGATCTGGCTCTTCCCAGAGATCCCTGTGGCCAAAGGAGGATGGAAGACAGTGAGAACACAGACACCTAGGCCCACCGACCCTCAAGAAGCCCAGAGCCTGAGCTGAAAAGGTCTAATAGGGTGTCCAGCTCCACTTACTGACAGCCCCCTGTCCCTGCACCATCCCTCTCTGAGGGTCAGGAAATACCTGCCCACTAGATCGCTTGAGTCCCTCTCAGTAGCACAAACACTGAGTTCCCAGTACCCCTGCACATGCCTGCCCAGGTTCCAGGCTCTACGGAGGCTGTGGGGTGGTGGGGAGGCTTCTCTTCAACTCACAGACTTTATAAGGTGTCTATTTATCAGGGAGACTAGAGGGGGTGGAGGAAAGAGCAGGGCCAGAGGAGCATTCTGTTTTATTTTTCAAATTTTAAAAATTAAAAATGCTTTTTTTAGTTATAAAAGTTATAACTTTTTTTGCCCTTTGTAAACAAACAAAAAAATCATACATAGATATAAATAAAAAAGCAGCAGTCACCTGAATCCCAAAGACTCACTGTGTGTCCTCCCAGATCTTTATTGGCACACACGTGCACATACATGGCACACACGTGCACACACGTGACACACATGGCCCCATCAGCTTGATAGCACTGGGGCCATCCTTTCCATGCTAACTCCTCACCCGCTTTGGTCTCTTTCTTTTTTAACTTTTTGTTTTGAATTAATCTTAGATTGGCAGAATTGTAGAGCTAGCACAGAGAGTTCCCATATACCCTTAACCCAGCTTCCCCTAACGTTGACATCTTGCTGAATCACAGAACATTTACCAAAACCAAGACATTCGCATTGACATAGCATTGCTGACCCAACCTCTGGGCTTTATCCAGATTTCTCCCACTTCCCCACGGACACCCACAAGCCAATCCAGGAAGCAGTGCTGCCACACTCCTGGATCTCCCTTTGGCCACTCTTGCTACGTCACGGTGGGCCCAAGGCCAGGCGAGCCCTGCCCTACCTCCCTTTCCCCTCACTTGACTGACAAGCCCACACCAGCCTGGATACCTCACCAAGCCACTCCCATCAATGATGCCTGCGTTTCCCATCCAAAGGTCAACTCTGTCCTCACTTGCCCAACCTCCTCAGAGCCCATGGAGGGCGGTGTCTATTCAGAACCACCTCCTTCCCCTGGCTTCTGCGACTGACCTCCACACTGCCAGGCACACCTCTGACCACACCACTTGATCGTTGCAGGGCTACCCTGGCTTCGCCCTGTCCCCATGCCCTCTCGTCCCATATGCCAGGGATGCCCCAGCTCTGGACTCTCCTCTAAGTTCTGACCTACAGATTCCTACCTCACCAAACTCATCATCTCCCCCCAAAACCCTCCTCTTGTCTCCCCTCCTTGAAAAATGCCACTAGGGTCCCCTCGAGGTCCCCTCCATGCTCGAGCCAGGAAACCAGGGGCCATCCTTGAGTCTCTTCCCCGTGTTCCTCCTTCTCCGTATTCCCAGCACTACTACCCCCCACTTCCTTGCCCCTCGTCCCCCCAGCACCCTACCCCGGGGATCCCACTGGTCTCCCCAAGTCCTTCCTGCTGCCAACCCCCCGCCCTGCATTCTACTCACCAACCAACAGGCTATTTTCAAAATAAAATTCCACTGCAAGCCCTTAACTGGCTCCCAAATGCCCTTAAAATAAAGACTCGAGGGCAGCCCAGGTGACTCACTGCTGCCTTCGGCCCAGGGCGTGATCCTGGAGTCCGGGGATCCAGTCTCACATCAGGCTCCCTGCATGGAGCCTGCTTCTCCCTCTGCCTGTGTCTCTGTCTCTGTCTCTCTGTGTCTCTCATGAATAAATAAATAAAATATTTAAAAAATAAAAAAATAAAGACTCGAATCCTTATCATGGTTCACGAGGTCCTGCACAGGCCTCCCTGGCCCCACCGCTCATCACTGTCCCCCTGCCCCTCTCCCTCCCTCCAGTCCCAGTGATCCATCTGAATTTTACTCTCAATGTCATGGACCAACTGGGGACTTTGGCACCGGGAGGTGACACAACCTGATTAAGGGTCTGGTTCCTTTATTTGTCTGAACTGTGCCTTATGTATTCCTCTGGTGCTGGACCTTGGGAAGGGGGGGACCACTTTAAAGACTGAGGATGAAGCCCGCTGAAGCCTCCAGCATTCTAGAGGGTGCTGGGTCCCATGCCGGCCTTTGGCCTTCCCACCAGCAGGGCGAGTCTGAGCCTCCCACTCCTCGCTGTGAACGGAGCAGCCTCACACAGGTGGGACAGGGTGGACATGAGTGCCTCCTTGGGGGTCTGGGACTTGGACTTGCAGCAGCAGGGCCAGCTGTGGGTGAAGGAGCCCGCCCCCGGGATGGGGCCTGGAGTCTAGGAGGCCAGCACTGGGCTATGCCTGCTGCGACCCCGCCTCACAGAGGCCTCACAGAGACGTCCTCAGCACCACTTAGGAGGGTCCAGGAGGTGACTCTGGTCGGGGACACTTGGCTACTCCCCGCCCCCCACGGCCTTCCCCCACCCCTCCCCTCTCTGCATCCTTAGCCTGCCAGGTTCCTGGGCTTCACTCACATTTTCCTTAGTGCTCAGGAGCCCTGGAAATCTTGACCAAAGGTTTTCATACTCTTTTGAAAGCAGTGAAAAACTTCCACTCAAAGCAAGCTATGCTCAGAGATCCGGGACATAGAAGAGAACATGAGCCAGTACCTGGCCACAGCCCCTTAAGAGGTCCACGGAGCACATAGGGGACCCGCTGCAGCCCTCCCTCCGTGGCACAGACGGGGAAACTGAGGTCTGAGGTCACACGGTGAGTCAGTGGCTGAGGGAAAACTAAGCCCCAGTCTCCAACCTCTGTGAGGGGGTAGGGGGTAGTCAGAGAGGGTCACACCAGGCTCCGCATCTCGGGGAGGACAGGACTGGCATCCAGGCTCTTCACCTCCTCAGATCCCAACCAGGCCTGTACCAGCCCCTCTACACACACACACACACACACACACACACACACACACACACACACACAGGCTCCCCCCCCCCCCAGCTGCCCTTCCCTGTAGCACTCAGCACCTCTAACAAACCACTCAGCGCCTCTAACAAACCGTATCATTTACTTGGTTGCTCTGACTGCTGCTTGGTGGCAGTGTCCCACCTCTAGGAAGTCCGCTGCTCCCCCAGGTCTGGGGCTCTGTGGTTCCGGTTCTGTCAGGGGGTCCTAGGGCGCTGCTGGGGGAGTGGGCTGGGGAAACAGCGCCCCCTCCTGGCCATGGTTGCCCATCCCGCTCAGGGCCCTCCCTGGAAGGGCAGGGACAGACCCAAGCTAGATTCCTCCCCTCTCAGGGCTCCTGCCTCACTTCCCGGAGCCGGGTCTGCGGGGCCTGAGGGGCCGTGTGTGCCTCTCTCTCCAGGGATGGGGAAAACCAGAATGGGCTGCAGGTCCAGAACCACTCTCCGGCCAGCACCCACCCCTGACCCCCTGCAAGCCTCCCAGGCTGGCAGCCTCCCCACTGCTCTCTGCCTCCTCTCTTGGTGGGTCTACACAGCTTTCAGGGCCACCGCTTCGGCTCCCTCCGGGCCCCCTCTCCTGCTCTCCAAACTTCAATCACTCCCCAGACCTGACTCCCTAGCCTGACAGACAAGGCTTTTCACCTTAGACCACTCGGCCTCCTGCCACTCATCTCCCTTCCGGACCACCCCCAAATCGGGCTGCCCGCTCTCCCTGGGACATGCCGCTCTCCCTGGGACATGCCCTGTCTTCTGTGACCTGTGGGCCACAGCACACCCTTCTGGGGGACACCTTGCCCAGCCTCCAGGATTAGCACAGACCCGCTCCCTCCATGAAGCCTTGGGGGGGGGCGTCTGCTTTCTGCCTCCTGCCCCCCCCAACCCAGCCTGCTCTCGGCTCTGTCTCCCCTCACCCCAGGGCCCAGCAGAGGGTGGGCACCTCCAAAAACAACAGCGGACAAAGATGGCTGCAAGAGGCCTAACGCACAGTCCCGCCCCAAACTTCTCCAGCCCCCCAGCAGGGCATCCAGACTGCTGAGCCAAAGGGGGACTTTCCTACCATCCCTGGGCCTCCGCTCAGGGGCAGCTCCATGCTCATCGGGGCGGGCCTGGTGTCCCTCCTGCCACATCACAGCTGCCCCTACCACCGGCAGGCAGGGGAGGGAGGGGGGGCCCAGCCTGAGGGGCTGTCTGGAAGGGGCAGGAGAGGCTGCTGGGGAGGGAAAGAGAAGACCCTGAGACCTGGAGGCCGCTTCCTGTGTGCATACTTCTTCCCCCAGTCTCCAAATTCCACCCGGGGCCTGAGGGAGGCTACAGACAACAGCAGGCCTCCAGCTCCCGCGGAGCCCAGCGAGTGGGTGGCGGGAGCAAGAGGGTGTCCCCTCCTCCTCATCTCCCTCCTCTTCCCGCTGACAGTGGCAATGCCAAGGCAGGGAGGGCCGGGGTGACTGGAGGCACAAGCCCACGCCTGTGCATAACCTCCACGGCTCCTCCTTCTTTGATTCGGTACAACTTTAAATTTTCTTTGGAAGGTGAGCTGTGCAAAAAGAGCTTCAAGCACCCCCAAGCCAAGTCCCCACCCTAAACGGAAATTCGGGTGCCCCCCACCCCAGCCTTGCAGGCAGGGGGCAGGGGCTGGCCAGGGGGCCCAGGCGGCCCAGGCGCACCCCCAGCCCCCCAGCCCCGCCGCCCGGGGCGACCCTCACCCGAGCAGCACTTGGACCTCCAGATCTTCCCCAGGAGCAAGATCATGGCCAGGAGGTGGCTCAGGTCGCCGAGGATCCGGAACACGTTCATGGTGCCGCCGCCGCGGCCCCGCACCGCGCGCGGCCAACTCCCGGCAAACTTCCCGGCGGCCGAGGCGCTGCCACGTCCCCGCCCGCCCGTGCGTCCCGCGCCCCGCGCTCCCGCCGCTCGGCCAGCGCTGTCCCGCCGGGCGGTGACGTGGCCGGGCGGCCGCCGAGCCCCGGGAGCCAGGAAGCGCCGCCGCCCCAGAGCCCGCCTCCCGCCCGTCCCAGCGCCTGGGCCCCGGGCGGGGCGGCCGGGGAGGGGGGCGACCGGGGCTGCGGCGGCGGCCGCCCCTCCGCAGTCCCTGGCGGGCCTCCCGCACGCCCCTCAGGCCCCCCTTCCATACCCCGGGTTAGTACTGCGGGGGCCAGGTTGGAGGGGGGTTCGCAGGCCAGCGCTGGGCAGAAGCCTGGGGGGGCGGGGGGCTGGAAGCAGCCCATCAAAGTGACCCACTGCCCCTGCCGTCACCCCCCTGGGGACCAACACCCGCCCTCTCACCTGTTCACTGCAACAGCCGCCTTGTCCTGCCCCCACCAGTTGGAGGGAAGGTGGTAAGCTGGGCCTTCAAGTTTGGAGTCAGGCCCACCTGGCGTCCAGCCCTCCAGCAGGGCATCTTCCCCTCTTGGCCTCAGTTGATTCATCTGTAAAATGAGGTTAGTGTATGAAAGACCTCTCTCAGGGAGATCCAGGGCTAAGTGCTTCCCTCTTCTTGGTAGGACAAGATGTTCCAAAAGAACACAGGCCAGGAGACTCCAGAGAGCCGCAGACTGTTGGCCACCAAGGTGGGAGGCAGGAAGGGTGAAGGGTGAAAAACCACCAGTGAGAGTGCTGTGTGGCCTGAGCGTCTGTAAGAGTGGACCGCATGAGCTAAGGGCCCTTATGACCACCCTCCTTTTGACCCCGGTAAGCCCTTGGCCCAACCAGGACCTCCATCTCTCCCTAAACACTCACCTCCTCCCACCCCCATCCCCACCACAGCCGGAGAGGCTCTACTATGATGGATCCTGTCCCTCCCTTACTCATCACCCTTCCATGGCTCTGTCACCATGACTCCCAGGGCAAGGCAGTCCTTTGAGACTCAGAATGTGGTCCAAGGGCCAGCAGCATCTGTATCGCCTGCTGGAAGTGCAGTATCTCAAGCCCCACCTCATATCCATTGAATCTGAATCTGTGGTTAAACAAGATCCCCGGCTGACTTGTGTGCACATGGAAGTTTGAGAGACACTGATCCAAACAACATTATGAGGGAAGTACTGGTATTATTCCTATCTTACACTGGGGAAACTGAGGCACAGAGAGGTTAAGTCATTTCCTTAAAGTCACGCAGACACTTAGTGTCTAGATTCCAACACACAGTGTGACTCCGGGGTTTATGCAATAAGTATGTGTGTGTGTGTGTTTAAAGATTTTGTTTTTAAGTAATCTTTAATTGGGTATAGACCCAATGTGGGACTCAAACTCACGACCCCAAGATCAAGAGTTGCATGCTCCTCCAACTGAGCCAGCCAGGCACCCCCAGGGTTTATGCAAATAAAATTTTTTTTAAGATTTTATTTATTCATTCATGGGAGACACACACCGAGAGAGGCAAAGACATAGGCAGAGGGAGGAGATGCAGGCTCCATGCAAGGAGCCTGATGCTGGACTCAATCTGGGACTCCAGGATTACACCCTGAGCTGAAGTCAGACGCTCAACCACTGAACCACCCAGGCGTCCCTTGCAAATAAATTAATACATCACACTGTGGGTCATCTCAGGGGGGGGGGCGTTGATGACACCCTTTGTCACCAGAGGTGGGAGAGCAGGGAATAGGTGCCCATTTGCCAAAGATGCTGCAGCAGGGACTCCTGCCCTGGCAGGGAGGTTGGGATGACAACAGCCATCAAGCATTGAGCACTGACTGGGTGCCAAGCATGGGTCAGACACTTCATTAGTTCTCTCCGTTCAGCCTCAACAGGCACCCTCCAAAGTCAGCTTTAAGTCCTCACTTTTCAGGTGACAGCTCTGAGGTCCAGGGAGGTGAGATGCATGGGCCAAGTCTTTCTGGGAGGAGGAGCCAGGCACTCATCTCAGGGCTGTGACAGGTTCTGAATGGGCTGCTCTGTTCCCGCTCCAGTCCTGCCCAGATGCCTCTCTTCCAGCATCTCCTAGAGAAGGCGGTGGCTATTTAAACCCCTCAGGTGTGGCTACGGTTCTGGGCCCTACCAGCTGGCATCTCCTTCTCAGCGCCCACCTTCTCCCCAAGCCAGGGAAAAGCACGTGCATTTGCCATTTGGTGAAACATCTGTCCTTCTGAGAAGCAGCCCCAACTGCCAGCGGGGGCTGGAACAAGGGCTAGAATTCTCTTCCCTCTCTTTCTCCAGCCATTCCCCCACCCCACCCCAACCAGGGGAACTGAACACAGCCAGGGAAGGTCTGAGAACCATGGAGGTGGAAGGGAGAGAACCCAGGTTGGGTGGCCTTAGGGCTGAGATCTTGTCCTGGGCCTGCCACAGTGCCCTTGAGCCTGCCATGTCCTCTCCTTTGGCTTCACCTTTCCCATCTGTTAATGGGGATAATGTAGGGAAAAGCATTGTGACTGGTGATTTGGTTCTCCTCACATCTAGTCTTTCCAGTCTCCCAGGGAACTGATACTCCCTATTCCCAAGACAGGGAGCTCATCACCCCCATTTTAAAAAAAATTAATTATTTATTTTAAAGAGAGAGAGAGCACACAAGCAGGGGGAGGGGCAGAGAGAGAGATGGAGAGAGACTCTCAGGTAGGCTCCTCGCTGACCGCAAAGCCAGCACTTTGGCCACCTGCACCATCAGACACTATGATGCGTGGTTCTGGGCACATCCCACAGTCTTGTAAGCCTCACTTTCCTGACACCCAAAATGTGTCTGCTGTAGGCTTGCAGCTGGGGGGAAGCCAAGGGCAAGGGTTCTTTTTCCCTCACTCACAAAGCAAATTGTATATTCAAAGTCAAAGGAGGGAGAATGGGGGAGTAACTCGATGATAGAAAAAAAAATGTGTATAATAATCTCTTTTCCTTCCTGGTCCTAGCTCTTTATTACACTTCACCACCCTATTGAAGATCCTGCCAATTGCCTCAAATGCTGTGTGGAAGGAATGTGTGGATGTAAAGTGAAAAACCACTATCCTGAAGATACTCCACCACTGAATTGGCTGCCTTTCACTGGGCAGGGCCCTGGAAAGAATGGGGAGCTATGGGCCCCAGCTCCTGGGACTCCCCACAGGTCACTAGGGGCTGCTATGACATCCTTTGGCATTCTGGCCTCTGGAAGGAAAGAACTCTTCCCTGGGCACCCTGAGGCTCCACTCCGAAGGCAAGGTCAAGTCCATTCCCTAACCTAGGTTGAGGGCAGGCTTTCTCTTCCTGTGGTTCTGCCTCAGGTGTTCCAGAAGCATCACCCTCCCCAATATCTTTTGTGACACGCAGCATAGCAAGTGCAGTCCAATTTTTGCACAGCAGGAAACCAACATTCCAAACCACTCCTCCACTTTCGGTTCCGAGCCCATTTGCTGACGACCAGCTGTGTGCTGGTGCCTTACAGGTTGAACATAGAGGCAGCCTCACTGAGCCCTTGGGGCACTGTGGGGGGCATGTCTGTACATGGGTTAAATATGGCACAGATGGAGAGTAATTACCCTGGGTTGGCGGGGAGTTAAGAGGAGGATTCCTGTTAAGAAGACTTCAAGTGATGCCCCAGTGGGTTTTGCAGGATGAGTAGGAGCTTGCCTGAAAGACAAAATCTGGGAGAAGAGGCTAGGAGTCCCAAGTAGAAGCAACTACATGTGTCAAGGCACAGAAATATGATATGACCCACTCTCCCAGCACATTTTATTTGTGCAGCTCTTTAAAAAGAGACCAATAGGGGTGCCTGGGTGGCTCAGTCGGTTAAGTGTCTGAAACTTTGGCTCAGGTAATGGTTCCAGGGTCCTGGGATCGAGCCCCAAATTGGGCTCCCTGCTCAGTGGGGAGCCTGCTTCTCCCTCTCCCTCTGCCTACTGCTCCCCCTGCTTGTGCTCTTTCATTGTCTCTGTCAAATAAATAAAATCATTAAAAAATAAATAAGAGGCCAATAAGCAGGAAAAGGGGAGGAAGAATGAACACCAAGGCTAGATAGATGTTTGTTCAAGTCTCAAGTGTCACCACTTACTGATGGGCTGTCGGAATTTGGGCAAACTGTTTCATCTTTCCCAGTCACACCGTTTTCATGGGTAACCTGGGTATAAACCAAATACTGACTTGATAGGTTAGTTACCAGAGTCAAAGTTAGCTAGGTACCTAAAGCGCTTTGCAAGGAGTAAACCACTCAACAAATGCCAGTCCCCTGCTCCCCTTTATGGGACACCCAGGCCCAAAGAGGATCCGCAAAGCAGAGCCAGGAGAAAACACATTCTGTGTTCTCAGAAGCCGATCACTCCCTCGCCGGTTTATTCCAGAAGTGCAAAAAAGACAATTAAAAATAACCTCGGGGCCCGAGGAAGCCTTCTGGGGCGTTAGAAGTGTTCTGTATCTTGATCCGAGTGGTGATTACACGGGTTTTTTGCGTATGTAAAAATCCATGAGCTGTGCTCTTAAGATGTATTACAGTTTGTAAGTCACACCTCAATTAAAAGATAAAGAAAAGCATAACAAACCTTGCGACGCCGCCTCCCTTCGCCGCTGGCGACAGGTGTCTTTCTGAGACACCAAAGACCCCTCCGCGCTCGCGGGGCAGGCCCGGCCCCCGGGCTCCGAGTCGTGCGCCGCGCCGGGGCCGCCGCGGGGTTCCCACGGCAACCGCAAGCCGCTCACCGCGTCTCCCGAGTGACGAGGCGTCAGCGAAGACCCGGAGCCCGGATCACCGAACCGGAGCCACGGAGCCAACGGTGCGCGGGAGGTGGGGGGGCGGTTGGGGAGAGGTGGCTGGAGAGAGACGGTGGCTGGCCGAGTGCAGAGGGGAGCGACGGGTGCCCTTCGTCCTTGCGCTGGCATTCTCGGGGGGGGGGGGGCATCTGGCACCACCCCCTAGCCCCGTGCCGGCCAACTGCAGGATGAATACACCTCTGGGGTTCACTCTCGGCTTTCCAGGTGGGGAGGTGGACCGCTTGGCTGCTCCCCAATATCACAGAACGAGCGAATCAGGGGCAAAGGCAAGCCCTGCACCCTGGTGGTCTGCTT